GGAAACGTTAACTCTGTTTTCTCCTTCACAGATGCTGCCAAACCTGCTGAGCTTTTCCAGCAACTTTGTTTTTGTTCCTAGTACTAAGAAGCTACAAAAAAGATCCAGTCTATGTCCTCGGACTCAGAGGGTGAGGGACATAGTGATTGTAATGAGGTCAGCCAGGTGGACCTCACAGGATGAGTTCCCTGATTGGAGCTGTTAATCTGGTCCAATCAGGGAGCCCTGGCTGACAGAGATAAACAGGAGTGTCAGAGGTTCTGTTCACTCTGAGAGCTGGGTCTGAGGGAGCTGGATTCCCACCTGTAAATAGAGAGTGACCTGGTGACCGGATATCAGCCTCTGTGGAATTATTTCAGTGACCTCTATGACTCTATAGTCACCCAGACAGAAATGCACATACAAGGTTTACATACATATACATACAGGTTTATATACATGTGTATCATTTTACTAAATGATGAGGGAAAAAAGAATGATTCCACACAGTCTCAAAAATGGATATATTTTCTCTTTATGCTGCTGGAAAAGAACCAGAGTGCAGGCACTTCACACAAACAGCCTATCAGAGCACATGCAATGAAAGCGCAATCTTTCAATAAAGGACTGATTTTGTGTTGGACTGAACAAAATAAGTCACCATTTCATGCAGGGCAAGGGTCTTCTTTGTTGGTTCTTTTCATTTTAGTTTCTAAATTTAAGCTGGTGTCACAGATTCAAAGGTGAAGCTTTTCTTCTCCGAGGAGTCAGTTTCTAGGGTACTCCTATCCAATTCTGTCTCTGTCTGGGGTTGGGACAGTAGCTGGAAGCTGTGTAACACTGGGAGCAATGTGATGGGCACCATTTCCATTACAACATAAGAAATAGGAACAAGAGCAACACTTGACACCCCTACTGATCGAGAATCTGTCTGTCTATCCCTATCGCCCAGCTGCTCACTATCTGTGCAAAATGGTGATTTCGAGGGCCCATCTGCCATGGGTCAGTGAATGGCCATTTAAGTGACTCCTCACAGAATCATGTTATGGTGCAGAAGGAGGCCACTCAGCCCATCATGCCTGCACCGCCTCTTCAAATGAGTTGTTATTACTTTGTGCCAATCTCCTGCCTTTTCCCTGTGGCTTTCCAAATAATTGTCCGGTGCCCTCTTGAATGCCACAGTTGTACCTACCTCCATCTGCTGCTCCTTTCCCCATGGTGAGTGGAGGTCTGGGCCAAGTGTGACTCTTCCAGCTTTTTCTGCTCAATTTGGTTGTGGACAAAGGAAAACTGACCCTCTACTGATTCCTCCCTGGCTTATCCGACCTCTGCCAAAGTCTTCCCACCTCCATATTCCCCTCTCCCCACTCTGTCAATCTCAAAAACCCACTAACACAACTCTGTCTCTGAGCCTGACAGCCTAGCTCTGGTGAGATTCCAGATTCTCCCCATCCCCCAACCACCACAGGTACTTTCATGTCTGATGTCCACTGGGCCTTGGCTGCATTCCCATGAGTGGTCACCACTTGAAGGCTGTTCTCCCTCGCCAGAGTGGGGCTGCTTTGGTCCAGCCCATTGGTCAGTAACTTGCTCATTGCTGTAGGAGCTGGCTCTCCAAAGGGCATTTACATTGGGAGGTGTGGCCAGAGTGACAACAAGAATCCTTAAGATAGGAAATAGAGCCAGAAAGGGGTGAAGTGGAGAAAGGAACACTCTTGGTGAGGGTAGAATGCAGTACCCGTTACTGTCACCAGGTTCAGGGCATCACGAAAGCACCGTCAGAAAGCCTAGAGGATTCATACACACCTCACAGTGGGATAAATGGTTAGCTCCTTACACATGAATGCTTGAATTCTAATCACTACAACTGGGCTCACACTGGTGCTATATTTTTATAAATCTTAAATTGACAATTAGATTATCAGCCTCACACCCACGCCATTTGAAAAAATAAAGAGATAAGTGGGCTCAGAGGTTAAATGAACAGAACATGTACTCATTCCATACGCTGTTCAGATACATCACCAAACTCAGTGCCCAGTGAGAATAGGAAAGCTTTTGGAGAATTCTCAAATAAGGCTGCTCTGTTCTGTTGCAAACCTTTCTTCACCCAGTGTCCGTAAACCTTGAAAGCACAGCCGTCAATCACTTTACGAATTCCCTTAATAGCGTAAGGATCTCGAATTAGCACCTGCTTGGTGAGGGGCTTCGCTCGACGATACTTGTAATAAATACGAACAGAGGCCAGTACAGTCCAGATGATGGTCTAGAAAACAGAATCCAGAATTGTCATAGCTCAATATACCAAGTGAAAATCCCTCTGCACTGCACATCGCCTCTATGCCTCCTCATATCACCTTCACCTCCCACATTGTACATCTTAGAACTTCCTAAAGATGATGGCAGAGTAGGGAGCACCAACCAGAGAACCTCTGTGCCACCCATTCTTTCTCTTTATCTCTTTTTATTTCTCTTTTCTGGAGTGTTTCTTTCTCAACATTTTAATGTTTTAAACTTACCCAGAGGGGTGTGGGGAGGTGAGTCCCGGACTGGACACTGTCGCAGGGAGGGGAGTCCCGGACCAGAGACTGTCGCGGGGAAGTGAGTCCCGGAACAGAGACTGCCGCGGGGAGGGGAGTCCCGGACCGGAGACTGTCGCGGGGAGGGGAGTCCCGG